TCCTGTGATCCTTTGGCACACAGAAGAGATGAGAATTAAGAACCCAAATCTAATTCTTGGAAGCACCTTCACAGACTGAACCCAAGTCTGGGAATGCACAAATCCTCTCACTGTGTGTACGGCGGCAGATTACTGCGTCATTGCAACACATTGGCTCAGTTTTATCATTATAACCTTTCCATGTTATGACATATTATATTATTACTGGACAGCAAATTATCCAGTTTCAAACTTCTTTTTTCTTAAAACATTTTCAAATAAGTACATGCCTAAAACTATCAAGACAGAACAACATGGTAGGTAGCCATAATGTGCTCCAGCGTTCCTGCAGCATACGTTCTGGCAGGTCAGAGTCATATGTGATCAAAATATCCCCCAATGAAAGTAGACAGACAAATACAGTAAATTGAGAATGACCCAAATATATATATATTTTTAACAAATATATAACTTTCAATAATAACATAAATGAAATTGTTTCATGTTACTAGACCACAAAATTGTCTAATTATTTTACAATACAAAATCAGTATTATCAATACATGAAGCTTTTGCCACTACAACGTGACAAGTTGATGCACTGTTATTACAAGAAATAACAACAACAACAACAAAAAACAACAACAAAAAAAATCCTTTATTGTCTAAATAATTGTAGTCAGGAGCACACAGAGACCAAAACTGATAAACATAATCGTCGTATGATGATCTACACATGTGACAGTCTGTTTTTGTGTTATGGATCGCTTTCATTCTGTTTGGAGAAACTGTTTAGCTGCCTCTCACCGTAAGATTGATCCTCTGATTATTCTTAATATCCTTTTACCCTATTTACTGCTCGCTTTATTCATCTAATAAAAGGGGGGGAAAAAAGAAACGCTCCATGCTTTTAAATGGAGACGGGTAATCAGGTTACTGTTGACTTGTGCTGTAACCTGATTTCTTAAATGTTTTGTTTACTGGAGAAAAGAAAGGAAAATATGCTGTTTAAAAAGTATCCAATACCCCCCAAGCAGTACTTCTGTGATGTGCTATCATATCTTCATAGATCCAAAAATATCTACCAGAAGTATGATGATTTATTATGAGGATTAGTGGAAAATGACTGAACAGATGGATAATGGTGGATTTTGTTGCAGGAGTGTTTTTTTTTTTTTTTTTCTTAACGGTGGCTTTGGGTTACCAGACCCAGTGACTGTTCTTCATGACGGAGCAAGCGATAAACTTTTCAGAACCACCAGTGATAATGATATTGATATGCAAAATGAAATAGCAGCATCAGGCTAAAGGTTTACAGCTAATGTGTACATTTCAAAAGCAGTGTGTTTCATGTCTACACCTGCCAGTGTGTCACTCCAACCGTAGGCATGATAATATGTTAATTCTACTACAGGAAAGACCTGTTCTTTGCAATGGAAATATATGTGCATGTTAGACCTGTATGATTAATGGATTAGTTGTCAACTATTATACCCACCAGCTATCTTGAAAATGGATTTAGTGGTTTGAGTAATTTTTTTAAGTCAAAATTCTGTGATTCCAGCTTCTTATGCTTGAATATTTTCTTTTTCTTCTTCTTCTGCTTCTATGGCATTAAACTGAATATCTTTGGCTTGTGAACAAAACAAGATATTTAAGGGCATCATCTTGGGACTTAGGAAACACTGAGAGACAATTTTCACTGTTTTCTGATAATTTATGATTGACTACTAAAAAAACTACTCATCGACAATGAAAACAGCCACTAGTTTCAGCCCTTCTGCATAGTGATCAGTCGAAATAAGTTCCTGAGAAATCTAAGCTCTTGCATCCCTAAGAATCACAGACATATTTGGCACTGAACAGATTGGTTTTCAGTGGCATGCGCCTTCAGTTCCTTCTGAAGAAATCTCATTTCAATTAAACGCATTTATCTCAAAGTTAACATCATAAATCGTTGCCTGCATGATCTTAAAATCTACTTCTGTGAAACAGTTTGCTTTCATTTTCTATTTGCTTGAATAAAAAAAAAAACATTCACATGACTCCTTTGGTGAGTCCAGCAAGGTTGAGGAAGTTAATGAGTGTAGTGCCATGCAGTCAGACAAGTAAATGTTAAAGCAGATTACAAACATATTTGTTATTATTTGTGGCCACATGACGTGGACTAACATCTTATGACTTGGACTCGGGTCAGACATGAGTAAGAGATTGGATGACTTCTGGCCCAACTTCTGGAAATCAATAAGGGTCCATGATTTTCTTTATTCAATTTTCATGGAGCAGAAGTATGAGTGTATAAACACAAACAACACCAGGAAAGGCAGCTAAACACAGTCAAACTTTCCTTCAACGATTCACCATTTCTCAGCATCCGAGACCAAAACAAACAATCTTAAAGGTGCTGTATAAATTCACAGCTAGGCCTGAAAGCAGAAAGAAGCCCTACTCATAAAGTCAAAACAGACTACAATAAATTGACAAGAGTGAAAATAAGATCACTGAAAATACAGCTTGCTTA